TTCTAAAATTTGAAAAATGTTTATATATTAATTATATAATTCACTTACTGTTTATTGAATATATAATTTGAAATGAACAGCTTTGTGAGTAATGCCTTCATATCCTCAGGTAATAGGAGAAATGAATGTGCCTTCGCTCACTAGAATCCTACCTACATTCTCACCACAAAGGTCAGACTCACTTTCCTTTGAGGAAACCCGACAGCCAAACATTTATTGAGCACCTTCTCGGTGCCAGGCAGTTTTCTAGTTTACACAAGTAAAGTGGAGAACCAAATGGATAAGTATTCTTCCTTCAAGGGGTTTACAAATATAAACCAAAAGAAATAAATATGTCAGATGGTGATAGATACTAGAAAGGATACAACAGAGTGAAGACAGAGGGAGTTAGAGGGGGGAAAAAAGGGGGAAGGATGGAGGGAGAGGGAGAGATTCATCAGAGGGAAGACTGAACAGAGCAAACTTATTTAGTAAGATGATACTCAAGTGGAGATCTAAAGGGAGGGAGAGGGGTGCTTGATGAAAGGTAGGGTGAAGGCAAAACATGGCTGGATTTGAGGAAGGCAGGAAAGCCATTGTGGCCAGAGTTGCCAGGTCAGAGTGAGGATGCGCAGAGATGAGATGCCACAGGTAGTGGTGACAAGGATCTGAACACCCTGGTAGCCCTTGGTGATGCTTTGCCTTCCTGAGTCTGCTCTTAAAAGTTTATGTTGTTTGTTGTGTTGAAAATAAACTGCAAAGAATCAAAGGCAGAAACGAGAAGGCCAGCGGCTCATGCAGGTCCCAGTTCAGGGCATGAGATGATGTTGTCTTGGGAACAGCAGTGATGGGGGTTGATGAGAAGAGCTGAGCTGTGGCACAAGGGTTTGTGGGGCGGGTGGTGGGTGGGAGGAGGTGTAAGAAGAAGAGGTAAATGATATCAATCTCAGCAAGTTTACTGCAGGGAAGGAATGGTAGAGAAAGCATGCAGGAAATTGGGGGTGGCAGATTCTGTTTGCAGACATGGCGTTGGAGGCATCTTTTGCTGACAGCTTGGATACACAATTTCAAGTAGCATTGCATGGAGAGGTCTGGTCCGAGAGGAGATACAGATTTACATCTGCAAAGCACACAGATCCTGTAAGACATGAGTTAGCATAAGGTAGCCTGTAAGTCAACTGTAGTGTACCAATTTTAAATAAAATTACGTTTCATTGAAACACTGCCATGTTATTTTAAAAATACTTTGTGTATAGATACTTCTTCTCTGCTACAACGGCAGAGTATCTGACCAACAGGGTCTGCAGTGTGGTTTACTGGAACCTTTAGAATGTAAAATAATAATAATAATAAAAATAAAATCTAAGGAGCACTTGTAGGTCGCTAAGAGAGTGGATAAAAAGTAGATAAAAGGCCTGAGGGCTGGTGCCTCTGAGTGGAGATCTTCATAAGGGAGAACCTGCTAAGGAGACTCAGAAAGAGATGACATAGAGGGAATTCAGAAGAGAATGCTGCATGAGAGTTTAGCTACAACAACGAGACTAGTTTGCATTTGCACCAACAGTGTCGGAGGATTTCTCCTTCACCAGACTCACCGGCACTTGTTATTGGACTGAGTTTGGTCGGTTATTTTTCTGGTATCTTGAGGTTCATCATTAGATTATTTGTTTGAGTTTGCTCTGTTTTTAGAATATGATTGCGATGATACGATCATCCCTCCGGGGCTCTCGCTGTGTCCCTCAGGCTCCGCTGTGTTGTACCGACTTGACTTTCAATTCCAGGAATTGTTTAATTTCTTCTTTGACTTCTTCTGCAAACTGTTCATGGGACTGTTCAGGAGTGTGCTATTAGGCTTCTAGGGAGTTAGACTTTTTCTTTGGTTTCGTGTTTGATCTCCTTTACAAGGGCACTCATCCCATTCCTGAGGAGACCTCCGCATCCCATAAATGCTCTGGCGCTAAGATCATTACTTCAGAGGCTAAAATTTCAAATGTGAATTTGGGCAGCAAGAGAAACATTCACACCACAGCAAACATTTAGCTTATACTGCTCTTGTCATTCACGGATATAGGAGCTTTGCATGCATCCTTCCTTCTGTAATCCTTAAGCCAGCACTGAGACAACACTGCTGATTGTTCATTAGTTCTTCTCTGTGGTACAGAGACTACGTTCCTCTCGGGAGGCTGGTACAACGCATCGCTCACCTTGATCATCCTACCCCATCCGCTGCCCTCCCTCCTCTCTCCTTCCTCCTCAGATTCCCCTCTTACTCCTCTACAGAGTATGTTCCTTTTACTCTTTGAATTAGTTATATTTTATGTCTCCTCTATAAGAAAAACCATATGATGTTTAAATATTAAATTAAATATTAAATATGAAACTAACAGTATTGAGAAATATATGAACAAATGTACTTAAAGCCACAATAATGAGCTGCTAACACAAAATTATAGTACGTCTTGAGGTCAAGAAACAGGACATCAGCCTGCCATGCCAGCCCCACCCCTGGCACGCTGAGACCATGACTGAGACTGGGCATGGTGGTGTGCGCCTGTAATCCCAGCACTCGTGAGGCTGAGAAACAGGAAGGATCACTATGAGTCTGATCTGTATAGCAAGACCCTGTAGACCCCGTACTAAATACAAAAAAAAGAAGAAGAAGAAAAGAAAGAAAGAAAGAAAAAAGGAAAAGAAGCAGGGCAATGCGGTGCCCCTGTGGTCTTTGCTCCACAGAAAGGAGTTTGTAGGCCTAAAATAGCTGTGGGACTCTCTCCTGCTATGTGGGGATTTTGGTGTTTGTCAAAAGATGATAAATTTTGTATCACAAGTACATTTGAAAAAGTGTGTTATGCATATGTAGAAGTATGTTATGCATACGTAGAAGAAAAACTTGTTCAATTTTGTGATAATATCACAATTGAAGTTATTGCTCTGCCATGTGTTCTCTTTGAGCAGCTTTACAAAAAGCTCAATACCCATGTGGCCCTAGTTGGGATGGAAGTCTGGACAGATGGGGATAAGATAAAGATAACCTCAAACGCATCCTCTACTCTGGAAAACTTTTCTAAATGGAGGGGGAGTGATCTCCTCCGAAGACAGCACCATGATATCGCTCAGTTAATCTCGTATGTATGCATTTTCCTCTTTCCATTGGGTGTTTGGCATAGAAGTTGTGGGCTTTGTACACAAGAAATTATTTTTGGGCCGGAGGAGATAGCTTGGTGGTCTAAGCACCTGCCTAGAAAGTGCCAGGACCAGGTTTGATCCCTGGTACCACAGGCTAAGCTGACCCCGGAAGTGCCAACCACTGAAACTGGGTGTGAAGGTGCACACCTGTAATCCCAGTGCTGGGGAGGCTGAGACAGGAGGATCAGTACAAGTCCAAGATGCATAGTGAGATGCTATATGAAATAAATGAATAAGAGATTTTTTAATTTAAAAAATAAATTAAAATTTTCACAGGCATTCACAAGGATCATATATCACATATACAATTACTTTTGAGACAAATATTTACTCTAGTAAGTGAAACGTGATTTCACAGTAATCCATTAACATAAATAGGATAAAATCACTAAAGATATGAAAAAAGACATACATTTCACTCCCTTTATAAATTGAAACTTACAATTTACCAGGCAAATTCACAAAATATACCTATTGATAAGAAGTGTAAATTCCAAATACACTGTACTCACTACACAGAGAAACCAAAACCACAGAAAGAGGAAAGATGTTACTTTTATATGTGTACTAGCAGTGGGAATGAAAACCACACAAATGTAAAAGTAAACAAATCTAAGTCTACAGAAGAAACCTTAAAGAGAGTCCACATGTTGCAATTCTTTAAAACATGTCAATACTAATACAAAACAACATACATATAGGGCGAGATTATGCAGAGCAAAGGATTTATTAGGGCCCAAAGTCTTTATCTGGACAGAGGATACCTCAAAATGAAAAATATAAGATCATAAACCAGATGCAAAACATTAAATGTGATTACATGCAAGTGCTTGGGTTTTCAGCAACGTGAATGAAAACTAATTTTATTTTGCTGTGATTTTTAAAACCGAAGAGAAACTTCAAATAGCTTGTAATGTAATGTCTCTGCTGACCATTTAGCATTCTGGATGAGTTGACTGTACTCACAAATTTTACAGCAATTCCTTCCTCTCTTGTAGCACAGCAGACTTTTCTGAAGCAATGGCGGGCCTTGCCTTCCTGTCGTCGATGTGCTCTCCTTATCATTCAGTTGGCATCATTCAGGTGTGTGTGTGGAGATGAACTATGGGATCCATAATCCACAGTTGCCAGGTGTCCCCCATGCCTACTGCTCCCCTCCCCCAATCCCTCCAGCCTGTGGAGCGGATATTATCATTCTTCTTCATTAATCTATTGACATTGTGAATAACAGATTCCACTGCAAATGTTGAACTCATCTCGAATTCTAGGATAAACCCTAATGAGTCATGCTGTGCTACATTTGATTCTAATGTAATGCCCCTCAAGACCTTTGCATTATACCCATTAGGGATATTAATCTCTAGTTGTCTTGCAATGGGTTTTACTTGTTTTATTTTATATTTTGCCTTTTCAATTGCAGTAAATTCAGCCACATAAAATGAATTACAATATGTTTGCAACTCTTCTTTTTCTGGAATATTGAAATAGAATGGTTGTTATTCATTCCAAAGTTCTTGATATAGCTTGCCGACAAACACATGTGTGACTGGAGTTTACTTTATGAACTGTTTTGATAAAAAACTGAATTTCTTTAGTAGACTTTTTCAACTCTTCAGATTACTCTTTTAAGTACACCGTGGTAGGTTTGTCTTTAAAGAAAGCTGTCTACTTCAATGGGCACAAACTTATTGATAATATTTGTTATTATCCTTTGAATATGAAATGTGTACGTAATGCCCTGGCTCTCATTTATCTTAACATCGTGCCTTTTTGTCATGACCAGTCTGGGTAAGAATTTAGCTATTTTATTGATCTTCTCAAAGAAACAACTTTTCGTTGCATTGATTCTGTCTACAGGTTCCTTCTCTGAATTTTGTTGATTTCTGACCTTGTGTTATTTCCTTTCTCTTCTCTACACTGTGTTCAGTTTTACATTTTTAGTGAAATAAATTTCTTACACACTTTTATTTGCCTCCAAGTGGATATGCATGCCTGTATTTTTTGTTAAGTTCAAAATGTTTTCTCAGTTTCTTTCGACCCTCCTGACATATTATTTACAAATGTTCTATAATATTTACCACTATTAATTTTTGTTGGTTGAAAGATATTTTATATAATTCAATATGTTTAGCATAAGTTTTTGAGATTTGCATAATCAGTGGTCTATGTAAACTTGAAAAGAATGTATAGTGCTTCACATTTGTTAATTTATAATATTGATCAGTTCTTTTTTTTTTTT